ACTAGTTTAATTCCCTTCCATAAGCGTAACAGCCATTCTTTGAAAATTGTTGTGCTTTGGAGCTGTGAACTGACACCAGTGAGAGAAAATCTTGTGCCAGCCTTATACATATATAAGGATGTAATTCTGTCCAGGTGTGACCGCAATTCACTGAGATTAACAAGGGTGCCCTCATTGACTTTGGTTGCAGTGATGCACTCCATGAATGCATGTAGTGTTTAAATATATTAAAGAAATAACACAATATTAAAAAGTGGCAATAATGTTCAACACCATTACTGTAAAATATTAAAACATTGAAATAAAGCTTTATAGGACTCCATAAAGAAATCTAAGCAGCCAACATTTCAGTAATGCTATCATATTCATATTCATAATCAGTCCTCTTCGATAGCATTGCATAAAGAGTGTCCAAGGTGTCATAAGAAACATATTTTTCACCTGTCAAAGAGTGAGGGTATGATTCCATAGGTGTTAAGGATTTTAGTGGGGTTATGCAAATTTACTTATGGCCACTATACATTTGAAACCTGAAGTAATAGGAGATGTATTGTTAACTACTGGATTAGATTAAAAAAACCCACCACTAATTCACTTCACAAATAAGTATTTATCAGCAATAATGATGATGAGATTGCAATCATGAGATGGCCAAGTTTGAGATCCTCAGGACAATGAGAAGAGCATGCAGCAAGCTCACTGCCCTGGACTTCGAGAGAACAGACTTTGGCCTCTTCAGGAACCTGCTTAGTAGGGTTCCATGGGATATAGCCCTAGAGGGAAGGGGGGTCCAAGACTCCTGGCTGATATTCAAGGATCACCTACTACAAGCTCAGGAGTGTTGCATCCCAACTAGAAGGAAGTTCAACAGGAGGGCCAAGGGGTCTCCTTGGATGGATAAGGAGCTGCTGAGGAAAATTTGAAGGGAAAAAGAGGCTTATAAAAGGTGGAAGCAAGGACAGGTGGCCTGGGAAGAATACAGGGATGTTGTCCGGGATGCTAAGGACCAGGTTAGGAAAGCTAAGGCCCTGTTAGAATTAAACTTGGTTAGGGATGTGAAAGATAACAGGAAGGGATTCTATAGGTATGTAGCAAATAAAAGACAGAATAGGGACAAAGTGGGCCTTCTCCAGAAGCTATCAGGAGAACTGGCTACCCTGGATTTGGAGAAGGCTGAGGTTCTGAATGACTTCTTTGCCTCAGTCTTCACTGGTAAATGCTCTGACCACGTCACTCAAATCTTGGAAGGCAGATCCGGGGAATGTGAGAATGAAGACCTTAAGCCCACTGTAGGAGAGGATCTGGTTCGAGACCACCTTAAGTACCTGAATGTAAACAAGTCAGTGGGACCTGATGAAATCCGTCCGCAGGTCCTGAAGGAGCTGGCGAATGAAGTTGCTAAGCCACTGTCCACCATATTCGAAAAATCATGGCAGTCAGATGAAGGGGAAAATGGATGACTCAGGGAACTATAGACCAGTTAGTCTTACCTCTGTGCCTGGCAAAATCTTGGAGCAGATTCTACTGGAAGGCATGCTAAGGCACATGAAAAACAAGCAGGTGCTTGGTGACAGTGAGCATGGCTTCACTAAGGCAAAATCCTTCCTGACCAATTTAGTGGTCTTCTATGATGAGTCTACAGAACTGATGGACAGGGATAGCGCAGTTGATGTCATTTACCTGGACTTGTGCAAGTCGTTCAACACTGTCCCACACGATATCCTTGTCTCTATATTGGAGAGATATCAATTTGATAGATGGACCACTCGGTGGATAAAGAACTGGCTGGATGGCCTCACAGAAGGAGCTGTGGTCAATGGTTCAATGTCCAGCTGGAGACCAGTAAAAAGTGGTGTTCCTTGGGAATTGGTGTTGGGCCTGGTCTTGTTCAATGTCTTTGTCGCTGATATGGACAGTGGGATTGAGTGCGCCCTCAGCAAGTTTGCCGATGACACCGAGCCGTGTGGTTTGGGTGATATGCTGGAGGGAAGGAATGCCATCCAGAGGGACCTTGACACACTTGTGAGGTGGGCTGATGCCAACCTCATGAAGTTTAACCATGCCAAGTGCAAGGTCCTACACCTGAGTCGGAGCAATCCCAGACACAGCTACAGGCTGGGCAGAGAAGAGATTGAGAGCAGCCCTGCGGAGAAGGACTTGAGGGTGTTGGTCGATGAGAAAATGAACATGAGCTGGCTTTAGTATGCCCTTGCAGCCCAGAAAGCCAACGGTATCCTGGGCTGCATGAAAAGGAGCTTGACCAGCAGGTCGAAGGAGGTGATCCTGCCCCTGTACTCTGCGCTTGTGAGACCTCCCTTGGAGTACTGTGTGCAGTTCTGGTGTTCTCAACCTAAAAAGGACATGGATCTGTTGGAACAAGTGCAGAGGAGGGCCACGAGGATGATCAGGGGACTGGAGCACCTCCCGTATAAAGATAGGCTGAGAAAGTTGGGGCTGTTCAGCCTGGAGAAGAGAAGGCTTCGTGGAGACCTAGCAGCCTTCCAGTATCTGACGGGGGCCTACAGGAATGCTGGGGATGGACTCTTCATTCATTAGGGACTGTAGTGATAGGACAAGGGGTAATGGGTTCAAATTTAAAACAGGGAAAGTTTAGACTGGATATAAGGAAGAAGTTCTTTACTGTAAGGATGGTGAGGCACTGGAATGGGTTGCCCCGGGAAGTTGAGAATGCTCCATCCTTGGCGATTTTCAAGGCCAAGTTGAACAAAGCCTTGGTTGAGGTGGTTTAATGTGCGGTGCTCCTGCCCGTGGCAGGGGGGTTGGAACTAGATGATCTTAAGGTCCTTTCCAACCCTATCTATTCTATGATTCTATGATATTTAATAAGCATGTATTCATAAGAATAAATTGATGCATATTAATTAGAAGTGAAAACCTTCTTAAATTAGAGGAAAATGACTGATTTGCATATCAATGTGCGTATCACAATTCCGCGTAATCTCAGTATATACAAGGCTTTAAAACTGGTATAAAATGCAAAGAACACATTTGGCACATATATTAGAAATACAAATCAAATGGAAAGAGAAAAGCATTGTAAAAGGTCTCTTCAGAAGAAGTCTAGAAGTATTAAGGTAGTTACAGTGTAATGGGAAGGCCAGATAACACTTTGGCACAGATATTTGAATTTTTACTCCATCGGAGAGCGTTTAGCGAAAAAGAATTCGAAGTTCTCTGAACATCTCTAAACATGACATTTCAATGAGTGAAAGGTATGATTCAGGTCTTCGTAAACACAATTTCCTTCCTGCAAATAATAAACAATTAGTCTAATTGCTCAACATCTAAACAAAATGAGATATGAGAATGAAGGATTGAGACTACTGAGTACAATCACAATTTCAGGTAATAAAAGGAAATCAAGAAATCTGCCATGTGCTGAAAGAATGGGGTAGTCTTACTGAATGAAGCTCTGGAGGTTCATTGAGACTAAAACATACTGCTGCCATTCAGCTGTGTGCTTGAAATGACCACCACATCTCTCTTGCTTAATTCTGCCCTCAGGATCTTATCTTTCTAGGCAAGGGGCCAGTCACTTTCTCTGACTTCAGGTCAGGATTTGTTTTTCTCGTTTTTAATAATGCCCAAAGAAACAGAAACCCTGAGATACCATGGTAAGGAAATCAATATAAGGACATAAATAAGTGAAAGCTCTGGGAATGAATGTCAGTGTGCACATCAACTAAAAATAGCCCACAACCCTCTATATAACCTTTACTCACCACACTTGTCCATATCTCATTCAGCTAGGCACTAGAATATTTCTTACTTATATTGTAAATTTAAGGTGGTAAATTTGAAGAATGAAGAAAAAAAGCATGAATATTCAGAGGCAAGAGGCCTGAAACTTTTTGTTCAACAGCATGAACTCTTTTGGATGCAGCAGAAAGGCTAGGAAGGGCTATCTTCACCATGAATTTCCATTTCCTCTCCTGCTACTAAGAAACTGGTCACCAGTCCTGAGGACAGCAAATTCCATTCCATCAGAGTATTAAAAAAATATGTAAATGAGATATGGAGACCTAATTAGAGTATAGGAATTGCATGGTTCAAGGAAAAGTTCAGTTATGTATCGGTAATTACACAACAGCCATTTTTCCTTACAGGCTAAAACCAACTCAATTTTAGCAAAATAAGTGTTATAATTAAAGCAGCTTTTCAAAGTAATGATGCATGAAATACGTAATCAAAAATGTAAAGTCCAAACATCTATTGGATTTGTTTAAAGACCTGTGAAGCATGCAAAATAAAAGCATTATTTTGATGCAAGTAATATAATGGCCTTTTATTTTTAGCAACAGAATATTAACAGCAAGTGCAAAATATTCAATGTCAAGGAAGATTCGTACTCAACCACAATATGAATTTAAAATTTTAACTTTGTTCTTGTTCTTACAAGTAAAGCAGAATGAATCACATAGACATGACTGCTGAATAAGGGGTCTGGTTAGTTGCAATGGATGTTCAGAATGAAATGTTTGCTATGATGAATTAAATTTAATGGGCCAATTCAGTCTTTTCAATCATATTATTAAAGCTAAGTATTGAAATGCATTTTCTCCTAGGAATTATTTTTCATTTTATATCTTCCTGTTTTTTTCTTCACTTACTAGAAAATTCTTTTTGTTCTCTATAAGATGAAATTGCAGCAACCTTACAAATTGTAACAAAGCAAAAAGAATTGTGCTTCCTAAAAGGGAAAATGATGGAACAGTAAGGATATAAATGTATGCATATTGAATTATTTTTACATATATTTAAATAATTCTTTTTGATCACAGGATTTCAGTATTCTCCAGTCTACTCATAACCTACTGAAAATTTAATTCTAGGATGTTAAAAAATGATTTTTTAAAATTAGCTTGCAGTGCATCTGGCAGGACTAGACCCTAAACATATACTGTACAAAGCTCTCTCTGTTGATCAGACCACTAATACTGATGAGCTAAAACGCGTTAGGTTGCACCGATTTTTTGCAGATAGGAGAATGCCCTGTGACACAAGAAAATCTGAAGAAAAACAAAAATAGCAAGCAAAATGCATATAAATGTAATTTTCTTCATGCTGATACATGCTGTGAAGGAAAACTGTGAAAGTAGCTAAAAGTCGAGGATAATATATATATCACCAGATCTTGGGGGTATTTTTGTATTTGGTTTGGTTTCTTTTTTTTTTTTTTTTTTTTTCCATAAAGTTTATTTTCTTCTTTGGAGCTTTCACTGCAAATCTTACAAGTTTGGGCTCTCTGTATAGCACTCAAAGTAAATCTTTAGGGAAGAAATACTATTAGACTTCAAGATAAATATTTGCCCTCAAATGTTGGTGCAAATAATGTGTCCAACACATCAGGTTTTTGAGCTTTTTGTACCTCTGAGATATCTTTAGCTGTGTTGGGCAAATATTGAAATTATAATTCTCCCATTATTCCTATATCTAGGATTATGCATAAAAGCCTTAAATGAGAAAAAAAGGCTGTTTTGTTCCCCGAATACCAATTTAATTATGTTGATGTTGAAGATATGCACAATTGAATTATATTTGCTATGAGGAGATGAAAGAAACTTGTAAACCAAATTACTTACGGATCACAGCTGATGAGGCCAAATTCTGTACTTAATTCTGCTTATTATTTTTTTTTCCTCAGAGCTGTTAATTGTAGGAACTGAACCTTAATGTCAGATATTTCATTCCTTTCCATTTTATTCCTATTTTAAAGAAATTTGTATTTTGAACTTCCAAGAGTCCACTAGTGGTCTAATGCAATACATCAATCTACTGTAGTTGTATGCCATCACACCTTTACAGCACATAAATAAGAAAATCTAACTCAAGTTTTCTTACAAAATTAGTGGTTTTAAGGTACTGTATGGTGATAATTTCCACTTCCCAAATGACTGTGAACTGGAAGCTTAGGAAGCAGATGACAGAGTTTATTTCACAGTATCACAGTATCACAGTATCACAGTAGGTTAGAGATTGGAAGGGACCTCAAAAGATCATCTAGTCCAATCCCCCTGCCGGAGCAGGAACACCTAGATAAGGTTACACAGGAACGTGTCCAGGCGGTCTTGAATGTCTCCAAAGAAGGAGATTCCACAACCTCCCTGGGCAGCCTGTTCCAGTGTTCCGTACCCTCACTGAGAAGAAGTTTCTTCTCAGGTTTAAGTGGAACCTCTTGTGCTCCAATTTGTATCCATTACCCCTTGTCCTTTCATTGTTTGCCACTGAGAGAGTGGTCCATCCTCGTGACACTCCCCCTTTATATATTTATATACACTAATAAGGTCACCCCTCAATCTCCTCAGTAATTTACTGGTTCCAGAAGTAATGTTTGAGACCATGACATTTCCCTAACACTTCTGACATAAAAAGTTAGTTTCGCTGCAAGAGTGTTATAAAATTTGGCATAATGGAGTTAGTTTTTCCAGGACTACTAACTTCCGAACTACCAAACTTGGAAGCAGGAACAAAGATGACTTGTTTCTCACAGAGCTTACTGGTAGTTCAGATACCAAAATATACCTGTAAAGTTCCTTTTTGAATATTTTCAAATACAATGTTTGGCAATAAATATATTCCATTTCAATAGAAAATGAAAATATATACAAATGTTTCACAAAAATCCATTTTTGTATATGTACTAATGTGTCAATCCCCAATCCCCATTTAATGAAGTGCCCATTCTTCGTTCTTCCTGAAGGGATAGTGCTAAAAATTCAACAGAAATATATGACTTTCATGAAACTGAATCTTTGCTTTTGTTAGTGTAGCGCCAGGTGAAAGTAATTTAGACTTGTCAGAAAAGTAAATGGTGATTTTTTTTTAGAGGAATTTTCTTCTACAGAAAAAGAAAAGTTGGTCTATGCCATGCTGTTAATGATTCTTTTTCTCAGTGATTCTGAAAAACAGTATTGCACAGAAGGATCTGGGTGTGTTGGCTGAAGTTGAGTTTGAGTGGGTGTCGTGGTTTAACCCAACCAAACAGCTTGTTCACTTACTCCCAGTGAGTGGTGCCAGGCGTTAGTCCGCCCCCCCCTTCCCCAGGGGCTGCCGCCCCCTTTCCCCGCTCCCAGAGGGGTGGGGAGGAGAATCGAAGGAATGCAACTCCCACGGGCTGAGATAAGAACAGTCTAGCAACTAGTGTACAATACGAATCACCACCGCTACCACCAACGACAACAATGATAAGAGAAAACAGCAAAGGAAAGGAGTACAATACCACGCGCCGAACCACTAGTCCGACCTGGCCGACCCCCTCCCCTTCCGGGTACCTCCCAGTTCCCCCCCCGGGCATGACATGCTGTGGTATGGAATACCTCTTTGGTCAGTTTGGGTCAGGTGTCCTGTCTCTGCTTCCTCCCGGCTTCCCCTCCTCCCTGGCAGAGCACGAGACTCACAAAGTCCTTGGCCAAACCAAACATCATTTTTATCAGCTTTGTTCCCAGCCCGAAAGTCAAAACACAGCACTGCACCAGCTACTAAGAAGGAGAAAAAATGACTGCTGCTGCTGAACCCAGGACATTATCCACCCCTTATTCCATACCATTCACGTCACGCTCAGATCCTACATTTTCAATATACCATCACTCCGATCTCAGTGCACTTCTATCTTAGTGCAAAGACTAGTCCCTATAAAGCTGCTGAGTCCATCTGGTCCATGATGTCAGGCTCCATCTCTTGTAACAGTCTTTCAGAACAGGAGAGGCCGCGTGCAGTATTGGGTCGTTGCCTGCTGATGCTGATCATTCCCTTACTGTAGAACTTGTCTGGTTCTGTCAAAGTTCGCTCTATGTTGGGATGATGGTTGAAGGGAAGTCAGGGCTAGTCGCTGGTGGCCTGAAGACATCTGGTTGATGGGCTATTAAAGTATTACACAGCAGGCAACAACATACAATTATGTTCTTTGGCTGTTTTCCCCTAAAATTAAATCCCCTTGAGGTACACATCGGACTTCCCCATCATCCCGCATTACCCACCAAGTGTATCCAGGTCCCTGAGCAAAAGCAATCCCACGAGTGGGTTTGCCTTTACTTGAAGCAGGAATAACCCAGACTGTCTTCCCCAGCAAATTCTTCATATGCACCACAGGAACTTTGTCCCCCTCTACAATATGTAAAAGTTCCGATTGGGCTGGGCCAGCTCTGTTGGCAGATCATCTGGTGTTGACCAACCAGGTGGCCTTTGGTAAGTGTGTATCCCAATGCTTGAAAGTTCCCCCACCCATTGCTCTCAGTGTAGTTTTTAACAGCCCATTGTACCTTTCGATTTTCCCAGAGGCTGGTGCATGGTAGGGGATGTGATATACCCACTCAATGCCATGCTCTTTGGCCCAAGTGTCTATAAGGTTATTCCGGAAATGAGTCCCGTTGTCTGACTCAATTCTCTCAGGGGTGCCGTGTTGCCACAAAATGTGTTTCTCAAGGCCCAGGATAGTGTTCCGGGCAGTGGCGTGGGGCACAGCGTACGTTTCCAGCCATCCGGTGGTTGCTTCCACCATGGTAAGCACATGGCGCTTACCTTGGCGGGTTGGTGGCAGTGTGATATAGTCAATCTGCCAGGCCTCCCCATATTTATACTTCAGCCATCGTCCTCCATACCAAAGAGGTTTTAACCGTTTGGCTTGTTTAATGGCAGCACATGTTTCACACTCATGAATAACCTGGGCAATAGTGTCCATTGTTAAGTCCACCCCTCGATCACGGGCCCATCTATATGTTGCATCTCTGCCCTGATGGCCTGAAGTGTCATGGGCCCACCGGGCCACAAATAATTCACTTTTATGTTGCCAATCTAAGTCCATCTGAGCCACTTCAATCTTAGCAGCTTTATCCACTTGTTGGTTGTTCTGGTGTTCCTCAGTGGCCCGACTCTTGGGTACATGGGCATCTACATGACGTACCTTCACCACCAGGTTTTGCACCCGGGCAGCAATATCTTTCCACAGTGCAGCAGCCCAGATAGGTTTACCTCTGCGTTGCCAGTTGCTCTGCTTCCATTGCTGCAACCACCCCCACAGGGCATTTGCCACCATCCATGAGTCAGTATAGAGATAAAGTACTGGCCACTTTTCTTGTTCAGCAATATCCAGGGCCAGCTGGATGGCTTTCACCTCAGCAAACTGACTCGATTCACCCTCTCCTTCAGCAGTTTCTACAACTTGTCGTCGAGGATTCCATACAGCTGCCTTCCATCTCCGATGTTTTCCCACAATACGGCAGGACCCATCAGTAAACAAGGCATATTGCTTTTCACTTTCTGACAGCTGATTATATGGTGGGGCCTCTTCAGCACGCATCACCTCCTCCTCTGGTGACATTCCAAAATCTTTGCCCTCTGGCCAGTCCATGATGACTTCTAGAATGCCTGGACGACTGGGATTTCCTATTCGAGCTCGTTGTGTAATTAGTGCAGCCCATTTACTCCACGTAGCATGAGTTGCATGATGCGTAGAGGAGACCCTGCCTTTGAACATCCAGCCTAGCACGGGCAACCAGGGTGCCAGGAGGAGCTGTGCTTCGGTGCCAATCACTTCCGAAGCAGCTCGAACCCCTTCATAGGCTGCCAGTACCTCTTTCTCAGTTGGGGTATAGCTTGCCTCAGATCCTTTGTATCCCCGACTCCAAAAACCAAGGGGTCGACCTCGAGTCTCTCCTGGAGCTTTCTGCCAGAGGCTCCAGGTAGGGCCATTCTCCCCAGCTGCGGTGTACAATACATTTTTTACATCTGGCCCAGTCCGAACTGGTCCAAGGGCCACTGCATGAACTATCTCACGTTTAATTTGCTCAAAGGCTTGTTGTTGCTCAGGTCCCCATTTAAAATCATTCTTCTTACGGGTCACGTAATAGAGAGGGCTTACAATCAAACTGTAATTTGGGATGTGAAGTCTCCAGAACCCCACTGCACCTAAGAAAGCTTGTGTTTCTTTCTTATTAGTTGGTGGAGACATTGCTGTTATCTTGTTGATTACATCTGTGGGGATCTGTCTATGTCCATCTTGCCATTTTATTCCCAGAAATTGAATCTCCTGTGCAGGACCCTTGACCTTACTTCGTTTTATGGCAAAACCGGCTTTCAGCAGGATTTGGATTATTTTCCTCCCTTTCTCAAAGACTTCTTCTGCTGTATCGCCCCACACTTGAAAAACACTAATACAGCAAATACCAGATCTAAGTAAGTTACAACATTCTGAAGCTGTGAGATCAAGAGGAACAACTTTGAGAGCCAATAAATCAGCATTGTGATGAGTGACTATTAATCCGGTCAGATCTGTTGTTATCTCAACCCCTTCGTGCCCCACGTTGGGCGCCAAAAAGAACTGTCGTGGTTTAACCCAACCAAACAGCTTGTTCACTTACTCCCAGTGAGTGGTGCCAGGCGTTAGTCCGCCCCCCCCCTTCCCCAGGGGCTGCCGCCCCCTTTCCCCGCTCCCAGAGGGGTGGGGAGGAGAATCGAAGGAATGCAACTCCCACGGGCTGAGATAAGAACAGTCTAGCAACTAATGTACAATACGAATCACCACCGCTACCACCAACGACAACAATGATAAGAGAAAACAGCAAAGGAAAGGAGTACAATACCACGCGCCGAACCACCAGTCCGACCCGGCCGACCCCCTCTCCTTCCGGGTACCTCCCAGTTCCCCCCTCGGGCATGACGTGCTGTGGTATGGAATACCTCTTTGGTCAGTTTGGGTCAGGTGTCCTGTCTCTGCTTCCTCCCGGCTTCCCCTCCTCCCTGGCAGAGCATGAGACTCACAAAGTCCTTGGCCAAACCAAAACATCATTTTTATCAGCTTTGTTCCCAGCCCGAAAGTCAAAACACAGCACTGCACCAGCTACCAAGAAGGAGAAAAAATGACTGCTGCTGCTAAACCCAGGACAGTGGGCAATGTGCACTAGGGACAAAGTTGATTAACAGTATCCTGGTTTGCCTTAGGAGGAATGTTACTAGCAGGTTGATTATGTGATCCTTCCCCTCTCTTTATCACCAGAGAGGCTACAGCTGGACCACTCGCTACAGTTGTCCCGTGTAAGAAGGACACAGACATAATGGAGCAAAGTCTAGCAAAGGATCACAAGCATGATGAAGGGCTTGCAGCATGAGAACTCTGTGGTTGCGTGAAGAGGCTATGGAGTTGCCATCCTCTGGGATAACTCAAAACCCGGCTGAATGCAACCCTGAGCAGGTAGTTTTTGGTGATCCTGCTTTTCAGTTGCAGTGGGTCTATGGTCTTCTGACAAATACTTAAGTTTCAATGAAACACTGGCAGGAGTTTTTTGTGTGTGTTTTTTCAATAACAAATGTCATGGTTTAAGCCCAGGCTGTAAATCAGAACCACACAGCTCTCTTGCCCACTCCACCCCTTTCTTTCCCTGCTCCACTCCCAGAAGGACAGGGAGGAGAATCGAAAGAATGTAACTCCCACGGGTTGAGATAAGAACAGTCCAGTAACTAAGGTATAACACAAATCACTACTGCTACCACCAATAATAATAATGATAAGGGAAATAACAAGGGAAGAGAATACAATACCACCTGTTGACACCCAGCCTGACCCAGCAGTGAACCAGCCCTTCCAGGTAACTGCCAGCTACATCCTGGGCATGACGTGCTGTGGTATGGAATACCTCTTTGGCTAGTTTGGGTCAGGTGTCC